CCGCCTTTGACAGGAAGGCCATGGCGGAGCTTAGCTCAAGGACAACAGCTCGGTGAGGTGGTTCTCCGCTGCGGTCTGCTCACCCCGTCTTTACATCTACACTTCTTCACACCTCGTACCTTAATCCATTCTCACCTACATTTTAAAGATAAGGAAGCTGAGCTTCAGAGTGGCTGTGCAGCTCATCCAGGCTCACCCAGCCACAGCTAGGATGGAAACTTTGTTTGCCTCCAGTTATTTTCTCTAATTACATAGAAAGCTTCAGGGAAGACAGAGAGACTGGTGAACTCTGTCTGGAGACAGAGTTGTTCCTGACTGACTGGTGGCCTGGAATTCACTATGTAGCTCGGGCTGGTCTCAAACTCCGAGAGCCACCCACCTCTGCTTGCAAGGGCTGGGATTAAAAGTGTGTGCCACCACACCTGTGTTTCTTTCTTTTTCTTTTCTTTTTGGTGTGTGTGTGTGTATTTTTGTTGCTTGTTGCACATATGGTTTCCAAGCTACCACTGTATTTTGGGTAACCAGTTAGGGGCCTCATTCTTGGGAGAAGCTAATTCTGGCAGTAGTTAGTTGCCCGTAGGTGTTTGTCTAAGGGTGGGGCAGGCCCGTTGAGATTTCACCTTTCCTGTTAAAGCATCTAGCTGGTACTGTTATTGCGTGAGTCTTGTTTAGTCGTACATATTGTTGAGATATCCTGGGTGTAGCTCACATGTCATTTCTAGGAGAGACAATTATGTAACGGACTTCCTGTTCCTCTGACTCTTGGAATCTTTCCACCCTCTCTTCTGTGATGTCCCCTGAGCATTAGGTTGCAGGAGTTGTGTTATAGATATATCACTGGGGTGGACTTCTCGAAATCTGTTGGCTCTGTATTATGAGCAGATGTGCTTTTCTGTAATGGTCTCCATTTGCCACAAAGGGAAGCTTCTTCAGCTGAGAGATACATTTGCCATCACATGGGTAAGTTTTAGAATGCAGTTAGGAATTATGCTGGTTTAATAAAGTGCTGGTCGTAGGTTCTCTCTAAGGTCCATACCTTACCAGGGTAGGTGGGTAGGTTTCTAGTACCAGGCATGATTTCCCTCCTATTGAGCAGATCATAAGTCCAGTTAGAGAGCTATTGGTTACCATCAGGATATGAGTGCCCTGTGACACCTTTAGGGACATCTTGTTAAGCTGGTTGTTGTGATTCATGGGTATTGCAGTGGGATAGAACCAGTGACTGTGTCCCGCCCCTGGTGGCTTGCACAACACTTTTATTTTCATTCTTCTCTCATTTATTACATCCCGATCACAGCTACCCATCTCTTCTCTCCCTCTTGGGTAGCGCTTTCTGGTGCTATGAACTAGGCCAGCAGAAGGCTTTCAAGGTAGATCACCTCAAATCTCCCCAGCACCTCGGTCCAAAATGAGTGGTGTCTTCAGCAATAGAGACTTAGCTTCAGCCTCTGAGAGACCTCTGTATCCTGCTATTCCCCTCTCTAATCCCTCCCTCGTGATCCCTTTTTATGTCCTTGGTTTTTGCAGTTACTTTTTGAGACAAGGTCAGTCACGGGCCTAGAGCTTGATAAGCAGGTCAGGCTGGCCAAGGAGCCTCCTCTGTCTTCCTCTCCTGTACTGGCCTTGCAGGAAGAAAGAAAAGAAAAGGAAAAAAAGGATGTGTCATTCTGGAGATTGAACTCAGTTCCTTGCAACACCACGTGCTTTGCTGACTGAGCCATTGCACGAGCCCAATGACTGGTTTGATTCCAAACACCTCTTTTGTCTTCCTTTTTCAGAATAAAGAGATAGAAGAACTCACCAAGATCTGTGACGAGCTGATTGCCAAAATGGGGAAAAGCTAACTCTGAACCAAGTGCTTGGACTTGGCCGTTGCGTGCAATACGTCCGTCAGCACACTGTTGTCCTTCTGGCTCCGTGGACAGGTTCTCTTCAGTTCCGTGTGCACTACTGTGTCCCCTTTCCAAGCCAGGTTGCTGTGACGGTTATGCAGTGCCGAGACCTGCCAGGATCCCTCGCTGTCCGTCTGCATTTTCTAGTATAATTCCTAGCAAGTTGACCTCGGAGTTCCTGCATCAGGGAGATTGTCAGATTCTCTAACAAAAACACAAGTTGCTGACCTTGGCTTTGCCCTTTGGTGAGCAGCATCTGATGTGACATGAACGTACGCAGCCTGCATAGGGACTCTTGCCTTAAAGAGTGTACAATTGATCCACATTTGCTGGTTGGTTTGTTTTGTTTGTTTTTTAAATGCATGTTTCAGATAAAATTATCTATTGTAAATAAATTTTTTTCTTTGAGTCTTGGCAGTGGGTGTGGCTGTGAGTTATTTTCTGGGAATGGTCAACTTCTCTCTTGCCTTCATTAAATCGTATCAGGTCTGGGCCCCTTATCTAGTGATTTAAATAGTATTTCCTTCATTATCGTGTCTGGGTTTGAAAGAGGAAGCAAATGAGAAATATTGACTCAGACTTAAATAATTAAGTGGAGATATTGGATTAGCTTAGATTTCACTTTTACAAAGCCTTGGCCCTTAGGAGGCAAAAATCCATTTCCTTTTATTATTGTGTGAAGGAAGTAACAAGCTGTCCCTCTTTTCTGTCTCACCCCTCGGTGCCTGGAACCCTGCCTGGTGGGAGTCTGGAAATTAGACACTTAGCAACATGACCGCAGCCCGGCTCCCTGATGCCCTGACCAGCAGGTGTGACCTGCAACCTGTTGACCATCGAGGGGACCTAGGGTAAAGGATGAAATGGGGAGATGAGGAGGAGGTAGAAGTTTTTGCTGGGTTTTGGGGGGGTTGCTGTCACAAATTACCACGAACAGCAGCCGAGGACTGCAGATGTTCAACTGTGTCACCAATGAGGTTGGGGCACTAAAGGAGAATCTGTTCCACCCCTCTCTCCCAGCTTGCCATAGCCTCAGCAACACTCATCCCGGTCTCTCAGCTCACATGACCTTCTCGCCGGTTTGTATTTCCGTCTCAGAGGCACCCTTGTGGTAGATGCTCTCACAGCTGGCTGAGCTTTATCTCCAGGACTCTTTGTGTTTTCTGGTTTTGAGACAGGATTGCTCAAACTGGCCCTGGACTCACTCTATAGTCCTGATAGCCCTTGAATTCATAATCCTCCTGCCTCAGCCTCCCAAGAAGCTGCCACATCCATTCCTTCCCTGTGTAAGAATACTGTTACTGGCCTTAGAGCCTACTGCAAAGCCACAATGCCATCCTCAAAGGCTGTTTTTCCGGTACAGCCATGTTCACAGGAGCAGGGATCAGGGTGTGCGCAGGTATTTAATTTTTTCCATCATAGCATGTGTTCAGGCGTGAGTGGGGTGAAAGGACAACTTTTGGGTGCAGGCTGTGGTGCGCACGTGCAGGGATGACTCGCTGGAGTCGGTTCTCTCCTTCTACCAAGTGGGGCATGGCGCTTAAACACCGGTGGGTTATCAGGCTGTAAAAGCCATTACCCACTAGCACCAGCGGCTCTCCCTCCCCATGCCCAGCACCCACTGTCCACCTGGTACCTCTGGCCCAGGAGGCCTCACTCACCCAGGCTACATCCCTTCCTTTCCAGGGTCCTCACCTCAACTGCTTTCTCTTTTTTATTTTTGCCACTAAAAAACCAAACCAAACAAACAAACAAAAAAAAACAACCTTTTTTGCTGGGTGTGGTGGTACACACCTATAATCCCAGCACTCAGGGAAGCAGAAGCGGGTGGATCTCTATGAGTTCAAGGCCAGCCTGGTCTAGAAAGCAAGTCCGGGACAGCCAAGGCTACACAGAGAAACTCTGTCTCAGAAAAAGAAAAACATATTTCTAAAAAGATTATTAATAAATACGTAAGGATAACATCTTAATCCTGAAAACAGGGGCTACAGATGTTTTTATTTATGTCTTTTTCTTGGCATATGAAATATTTAACTATTTTTTTTACTATGCTACTTTAAAAATATTTCTCTTTTTCTTTTTTTGTAGTTTTTTTTATTTTCTAAAGTTTTTATTTTTATTAATTACAGTTTATTCACTTTGTATCCCCCATGTAGCTCCCTTCCCTCCTCCCCTCCCAATCCCACCTCCTTTCCCCTTCTCCACCCATGCCCCTCCCCCAGTCCACTGATAGGGGAGGTCCTCCTCCCCTTCCTTCTGATCTTAGTCTATCAGGTCTCATCAGGACTGGCTGCATTGTCTTCTTCTGTGGCCTGGTAAGGCTGCTCCCCCCTCAGGGGAAGGTGATCAAAGAGCAGGCCAATCAGTTCATGTCAGAGACAGTCCCTGTCCCCATTACTATGGAACCCACTTGGACACTGAACTGCCATGGGCTACATCTGTGCAGGAGTTCTAGGTTATCTCTATGAATGGTCCTTGGTCGGAGTATCAGTCTCAGAAAAGACCCCTGTGCCCAGATTTTTTGGTTCTGTTGCTCTCCTTGTGGAGCTTCTGTCCTCTCCAGGTCTTTCTGTCTCCCCCTTCTTTCATAAGATTCCCTGCACTCTGCCCAAAGTTTGGCTATGAGACTCAGCATTTGCTTCAGTATTCTGCTGGGTAGAGTCTTTGACAAAGATGCTGTTTTGCCAGGATCATGGGGGCCTCAGAGACCACCAGGAGACAACTTGATACAAGAGCAAGACAGCTTTATTACCAGAGCGATCAAACTCAGGACCCAAGTCTCACTGATGCAGCAGTAGAGAAGTGGGACCCCGAGCCCTGAGTGAGCAGGGTTTTTAAGGGGAAAAACCGCAAGCAGGGGGCTTCATGCTTTGACGTTACAGGATTGGGTAAAACCCTTTGGGGCGAAGTGACCACCTACATAATCACAATTGCCATTCTTCTAACTACATCTGGAACTTTGGGGAGAATTTTCCCAACTGATCCTCATTAATTATTGCCAGGGAGATTGTCTCTATTTTCTATCAAGTATTTATTCTGTGATATTTCCTGGAGGCTGTTGCTAGGAGAGTTAACTTTGTTGGAGGAAATGAGTCACTGGGGGCGGGCTTTCACATCTCAGATGATCGAGCCAGGCCCAGTGTGGCCCTCTCTTCCTGCTGTCTGCTAATCTTGATGAGAACTCTCCGCCATCTCTCCAGCATTATGCCTTCCTGCTGCCACGCAGATGATTGTGAGGCACCATGTGGGTACCAGGAACCAAACGCTGGTCCTCTGCAAGAGCAGCAAGTGCTCTTACTCGCTAATCCACCAGACCCCAGGTTCTTAAACTGGGTCATAATACCAAATGGTTTGTATAACCGGTTGTGGGGATTGAGAAAAATTTGGAGGTAGTAAAAGATTTCTGAATCTGCAATACCCAAAGAGGTAGTTAAAAATAGAATGCATGATGAGTCCAAGGTATCGCTGGATGTTTTGTTACATTTCACACGTTCACTGCAGCCCAGGTTGTGAACACACAGTGTGAACTGTTTGTACAGTGCAGGCTGTCACACCACACAACGCCAACAACACTTCCTGAGCACCGCAGCTTCCGTCAGAGGCTGTCACGTGTTTTAAGCGGCTGAGTTCTTACCGTGGATTCAACATTTTCTGCTCTGATGGTTTCATTATGGAAGACAAACGGCTTTCAATGTTTCCTGCCATCATTCTTCAGAATTCTGGTATCCAATTAGCACTTGGGAGGTTGTGTTATTAGGGTGCGTGATTTTAAATGAAAACTAAGTTGCTAACCTGGGCTCTTTGAAGTCCCACTAGATGGGGTTTGCATTGGGTTAGGACAGAATTTCCACCAATATCTTCAGTGGCCGTTTGTCAATTTGTACTGTGTGTTCATGTGAAGGTATGTTCTTAGCATCGATGATTATAAAATCTCAATATTCACCAACTCTGGAAAACATTAAAGATGCTCTGTATCCTGCAGTATCAAATATTCGACCACAATCTCATTCTTTTGTGAAAAAATATAAGCATACCTTCTCATTACTGTGTAATTTTGCTCCACCTTTAATAAATGGTAGATAAACTATGTCTACCAAACACTGTCTCACAGTAAACTTTTTGGTGAGTTGTTCCTGGTGAATGCCTGGTTTGTGTTCCATTTATATGCCCGCATACATGGGTCAGGTAACAAGAAGCCCTTGCTCTAGCCGAACGCTAGGAACACTGGGTGGAGTTGAGCCGGATCACTGTTGGCGAGATGCAGCAGCAAGTCCACTAGGGGAAGCTCAGGGGATCTTAAAGTTCCAAAAGACATAGGAAGGAGGCAGCTACCTTAGAAGACTGAGGCACTTGATCCTTGCTGTGGTTCAAATCAGGTTCAAGTTTGTCTGTGTCTGACGTGCGTACAGAGTGGTTTTGGTTCTTTTTGATCCGCACAATCCAGGTAGCCTGTCTGATGCTCATGTCCTGTGACATTATTTATGGCCAAGGCCATATGGGGTCCAAGCCAGCTCCAGGGTTTCAGGGTCTGCCCTGTTCTTTCTCTCCAACAGCCAAGAAGCCACCTTGAGGTGACTTTTCTTTTCTTTCCTCCTATCTTCTTTCTTTCTTTCTTTCTTTCTTTCTTTCTTTCTTTCTTTCTTTCTTTCTTTCTTTCTTTCTTTCTTTCTTTTTCTTTTGCATCTTCTATAGCCTCAGATTCTTTATGTAGCTTAGGGTGACCTTGAACTTCTGCTCTTCCTGCCCCTACCTGCCAAGTGCTAAATGCACCACAATGTTCTGTTCTATACAGTACTGGAGACTGGACCCAGTATTACACATTTTAAGGTTTGGGAAGTTTATTGCTTGGAAGCCTTTCAGTATTAGTACCTGTGCTGGTTGGTTTTAGGTCAACCTGACAACAAGCAAAATCATCTGAGAGGAGGGAACTTCAATTAAGAAAGTGCCTCCGTAAGACCTGGCTGCAGGCCAGTCTGTATGGTATTTTCTTAATTAGCGACTGATGGGGGAGGGGCCAGCCTATCGTGGGTGGCGCCATCCCTGGGCTCACTGTTCTATAAGAAAGCGGGCTGAGCAAGCCATGGAAGCAAGCCTTGAAGGTCTTTGTACCAGCTCCTGCCTCCAGATTCCTTCCTGTTTGAGTTCCTGCCCTGACTTTCTTCAGTGAGGGACTGTGATGTGAAAATGTAAGCCGAAAAGACCCTTTTCTCCTCAGCTTGCTTCGCTTTTGGTGTTATCACCTTAACTAGGACAGTACTCATACATAACTGCTCTCCTGGACCCTATGGGCCAACTCCTTGACTGCTGTCTGCCACCCAGCTGCCTTGGCCTGGCTTCAGGCCTGCTCTGCGCTTGCTCACCTCTCTTCTGGCATAGCCCGATACGGATGTTGCGCTGCCAATGAGAGGCTACGGGGAACA